CCCCCCCCCCCCCCCCCACACACACCCTCCGGTTGCGACGCCCCTGATTAAAACCAAAACAATAAATAGGCTGAGGTGAAACGACAGTCTCAACGTTCAATAATCGATTGCCAGATGATCAACTGGGTATCCTCTTCCCTGCTAACTCTGGTCACACCCAATGTCGATTTCACACCATGATTCCTCCAATGCTTGAGGTCTGCGAGAGCTTAAGCGGTCATTAATATGAAAGAACTGAAGAGTGAAGAATAATCCATTTTGCTGCAAGGAAGGGTGTTCCATATTCGGTTGCCGAAGAATCCACAACTGATGGCAGCCAACCGCACTTTGAAATGGCTTGTCATGCCACAACATGACGCTTTCACAGACAAAGATCGTGTATTACGTGCTAATCCGATGTGAATATCTCAGTGGATTGCCCAACGAACTCATTCAAGTGTAAACCCAATATCACATTACGGAGCGCGGTCAATTTTAATGTACCACACTATAATGGTACTTCCATTTATTGTGATTAATCCTGTGGTTTTGATCGACGGTTATCTGCGGTTCAACCTAAGGTAAATAGAAGAGGTCTGAAGCTGCCGCTGATGGCAAACAACGAGCTAGTCCGCTAAACCTTTGGTTTTCTAGTAACGAGCTCATTAATGGCGCTTCCTTATTACTGCTTTCCGTAAACATTATTCAATGTCTATTACCAAAATAGCTTTGTTTCTGTCAGTTTCGTGTTGAAAGTCACTAGAAAAGCGTTGAGTGAAAAGCCGCTTTCATTCAAATGGTGACTCCCCAGTACCCTCTCTTCTTCGCACGATCGTTGCTACTAAGGCAGAAAGTTTGCACGTTACAACGTTCCGGAAGCTCGGTGAATACGTAAGGGCCACGGGGCACCTCATAGATTTCAAAAAAGACCACTGTCTTCAACAAGGGGCATATCTCTTTGCCCTTGAAAAATCTCCTAACAACCTGGTGTTATAAAAAAGTCTCATTAAAGGGTTTGCCAATATTTTCAGGCAGTAGAAAGATGTCCAGGCTGTCAAACCAATATAAACACGACTGACTGAGATGCGTTTACCAATTCAATTAAAATAGCAAACATGCAGGACATCTCTGGTTTTAGAAAAGAAATAAATCTGAGATGTTAAGTAAAAATCAACAAAATAAACAGCTGGCTTTTAGGCAATGGTAATTTTTAATGGTTTACTTGCTGATTTACTTAATGAATATTCTTGATGGTTTTGTTGCAGACTAATTATCTTAAAAGGAGAATCCTGCAAACCAATCAGGCTTCTGGTAAACCTGTCATAGACATAGGTGGGATGAAATTTCTGGAAACAATAAGGATGCTGATAATGGTGATTAGAAATTGGATAAGATGAAGAAATGTCTTCTTGTCATCTCAAAACAAAAGGCTGTTTTACTTGAAGATAGTCTGTTTGATGGCAAAACACCCAATCTGTCATTAACTTGTTATTTTGTGGTTCATGTCTTTGCAATCATCCTGGATATTGATGTCTCAAGCAATTACACAACAATGAATATTTCTAAACACCCATCATTTGTCTTAAAATTCAATCAAATGTCAACTTTGACAACAATACATTTCCTTGGTTTATCACAAGACATTTCCCTGATTTACTTTAAGGCTTGTGAAGTGATATTAACAAATTAAGAAGTGAAAGAGATAATTATTCAAATACTAGCATTAACCTTAGCCTAGTGAAATAAATTTAGTCAGCAAAAGAATAAAAACTGGATAAATTAGAATAGAAAGGTCCTAGCTAATTTCACAATAAAAACAATGCTTTTGTACACTGGAAACCAACTATCTCTGAAAAAAGTTTTACAAAATTTCACAAAACATATTAGCTAATGAAATAGGCTTACACACTAGAAAAGTAATGTAATGCATTGTATAAAATTTCATACCTGTTTATGCATTTCAACGTTGAGACCATATGACATCTCGTAGTACTAGAAATAAAAAAATTTTGTAAAAATCTTTTAAGGACAATTCTAGCATATAACATAAATAAAGCAAATTAGACAATGAAAAAGCATCAAGCTGGAAAATATTTCACAAAGACGATAACTGCCTCATATTTACATCATTGGTGGGTTCCTTTTCACTAAAAGGACATTATCTACAATTCCATCAACCTCAAGCTTTGCATCAGATCCAATTTTTCTTACTACATTGATAGTTGAATAAATTTTAACTTTAAACAACACAAATAAGTACCAAACAATCTGTTGTACCTAATGCAAGATGCTGAGAAAACATTGTTAGCACATTTTCTTTATACAGTGATGAAAACATGTTCACAATGTTCACCAGTTTCCTGCATTGCAAAAGGAATTCAAAACATTGAGATTCAGTTTTAGCTAGAGAATAGCACCAATGTTGAAAGTTAGGCCTTGGCAGTTTGTGTCAAATTATAAAAAGGGATGTTGCATAAACTATCATGTCTTCCACAAGAAAAAAACCAATATTTTTAATAATCCTGTTGATGTTTTGAGTTTATACATATAGCCTGATATGTTAAAAATATATAACCAAATTAGAATTAAACCCAGATTGGAATCAGTTTTCTTTACAACAACAAAATTGTGATGAGATGGTTATACCAAGTGATTTAAGGGTTCATTTTGCTTCAAATTCAAACTTCAGTCTTTTCCCTTTTTGAAGGTACCTAGGATTTCTACAAGTCTGGTTCCAAAAACAGTAAAGATGTCTTAACAGTTTGTGTAAATGAAAGAAAGACATTTTATCCAACAAGAATTCAAGATATTATCTACATTTTAATTCAAGAACTTTCTAGGGAAAGGTAGGAAAACCATTTTTATGTGTCCAAGGCATGTACAGTAGATAAATTGCTTCTGTATTTATGTTTTGCTATTGATAAACACAAAAAAGTGAAGGTGCTTCTTTCAAAGGGTATTTTTAAGGGTAAATGTTTTGCAAGGAAAGCACAGTAGACATTTTGATGTTGCATTGAAAGTAAAAAACACACTCTTCAAAGTATAAAACAACAAAATAATGTTTGAAAAATTTTAGCTAGGGAATATATATCCCAGTTATAGGTAAAATAGGCCAATTAGAAAAGCAAGTACATGACTTAGCATTGCTTGCCTAAAGAAAATATTACCAAAAGAATGCAAGGGAGAAAAAGAACAATTTCATGTACATTGTTTATACAAGGGGGCTGTTCTTTCAGGGGGAGAATTTTGTTTTGTTTGCTTTTTTAAAGCCATTTTAAAATTATGTACCACAAAAAACTATTTGCACATTGTGTGATATGTTCTGTGGAAACATGATGGCAGTGGCTTAAAAATAAAAGCGTAATAGGGAAAGAAAAAGTAAATATATATATGGCATCATGTAAAAAACATGAATCCTGTTGTTGAATTTTCTTTAAATAGGAAGACAACTTTTAAATTTGGTTTCAAGTTGCTAATTGCTACAGAACTATCCCATAACTGGCATTTAATCTCAAACTTAACTTAAAAAGGGGGTTTCCTCATTTATAGTCTGAAAGACCTTTCAACAGCCATCAGAATCATGCATAGAGCATAGAATATTCAGACTTTATAATTCCTCTTAAGAAAGGGCTTTTCAACAAATGTTTCTCAAATCAACCGAAACTTGAGCTGAGTAAATCTCATTTTAACTGTATGTACTCTGAAAAAGTACACAAAAAATAATTAAAAAGCTTGTGTCATGTGAATGAATGGTTGGAATGTCAAGATTGAGAAATAACGTCTTAAACCTTTTCAATAGCCTAAAACATGTTTATCCGCGAACCAGCAGTCATAACACTGTAACCTCCAACTGGCAAATCCACCATGAAATATTATTAAGTCAAATCTGTCTTTCAAGTCTTAGAACGACGTTCAAAGGGTGTCCAATTGATTACAACAATAAGTTTAAGCAGATGCAAATCTTTATCCACCACCGCGGCCTTGTCGCTAACGAAATCAGTCACAGACAGATTTAGGTATTAAGAAATACAAATTACCATAACGTAATGTCTCTGCATCTCTGTTTTTTCTGATGCCAGCTTCTCGCATTCCATTTTCAAACTGTGTAGGAAAATAAGTATTTAATTTGCAAGGTCAAACAAGTCTCTGTATCACGTAAATAAACACTTGAACCAAAAACAGTCATGTGAAGGATGAAGACACGGTTGCCTTTCTGTTTTGAATCCCAAACATCTGTGTACCGTAACAGCACAGCAAAACACGAGGAATAAACATGAATGTTCATTGACGTTTGCAATACATAAACCTCTTCAAAAACAACCTCAAGATGATTAAGCAATTTTGACTGCACGGAAATTGAAGGAAGATCCCCTTAGTGATAAACTGCCCTTGAAACCATAAACAAAGTTCTTTGAATTCAAATATTGTTTATTTCAAAGTTGCAGCCTGTTTAGCGCAGTTATCCAAATTTCCCGAAGTTTGATGTCTAAAACTAGATACTGGCGACCTGTCGATTGAAATACACGACTACGAGATTATCCCACAAGAAGACAATGGTTGCTACAAGAAATTCACTGTCTTTCATCACAAGATCAAAAAGCAAATATTAATAACCTGTGATTCTGTGCTTGTAAAAAATTGAATTCTTCTTTTATTCGATCACATGCCTCTGCGACTGAAAACTTGGAGAATGGTTGCCCAGACGGCTGATGAGGAGTCTGTAAAGGAATAGCACAGGCCAAAATATAACGAAAAGAACGAAGGAATTAACAAACTGAAAGCTGTATTAGGCCGTTAACACAGTGGAAAGCGACGGAGAAGAAACGGTTAAACCTTTAGGCGAAAGAGAAGGAACGAGGCAGGCCTATTTGTACAGACTTTGTTTAGCTATTTGTTTAAGACACTGAGCTCAAAAGAAATGTCTTATTAACGATAAAACGAGTTTAGACAACTCTGTGACCTACCGTATGGCCGACTGTATGGCGACCTTGATACATCTTTGGTCTAACTGAATGACGATGATTCGAAATAACAACTTTTCCTCTGGAAATCGGTTGGCCAAAGTTCAAGCAGCTCTTCCTCTATTATATCCCTCCTACATGAATTTGTAGTTGTTAGAAATAAGAAAATCAGTTCAATATAAAATGATTTCCTCGACGACTAAGTGCGTTTTTGGCAGCGACTATTCCAGTTGACGATAAGCGTTGATTGAGTGAAGCCTTCCGCCATGAGTTCTTGCCACAACAACGCATTTCACGCAATCATTTCTCTATACACAAGGGAATAGATCTATCGTTACACAAGGGAATAGACACTCGGCACGCGGTTCTATTAGCAATTCGAGCACCACAATTAAGCACTCCTAATATGGCACCTATTCTAATTTGTTTTAAGGCCTCTGAAAATAGCAGACCAATAAACACCTTGATAAAATCATTCATGATTGTAAGTGTTCCCACGTGGGATGCTTTCTCCATTTCTGACCAATCACTAGAGAGTAGCCTTCTTTTATTTTAATTGGTTTATTGGTGTACGTCAATCAAATCCACGTGGGTAACGACCTGCCAACTTCACAATAAAGTTATGAGAATGGCAGGTTTTGTAGGTGGTTTCAATGTTGACCACGGCGGTGATTTCAATCGCCCACTATGTATGCTTTTGACTTCGAACAAAGGAATTGAAAGCACTAGTCTTTCACAAGCGGCTGGTCATTCATCGATAAGAACCGCCAATGTCGCTTAGCAAAATGTAAAGTACAAAGCCCCAAGGACGTCGGAATTAGAACAGGGACCGCAGAGCTTATTACCATTCGAGGGAAGGGGCCTAAAATATTTCAATATCTTCAATGTGAAAAAACGCAAAAAGCATTGCATACTTTGAGCTGTATGCGATGCTGCATTGTAAATGCAATGCTTTTTAGCAGTAAAACGGCCACCCCCACCTCTGTTTTCTGGCTCTTACATAAAAATTATTGTTCATAAGCGAGTCTAATAGAATATTAATAAAATATTGAGTTTAATAATAATAAAATATACTGGGAACAATTCTTGGGACGGCAGTTGCATGATAATTTTGGAAGATTTCATATTATAATTGCTACTCTGCGGACTTTATGCTTCCGGGCAATTTCAACAGCCAGAGAAGCGAATGTGACCAAGAGCAGACGAAAATAGATCGGATGACAGGGCTTGGGCTAGGTTGTGTTCAAGCACAAAAAAGCAAAGCAACAAAATAGAAAAGGGGATGTTGAAAATGTTTCCCAAGCTTGCTGTTTTTATGGTATTCTCCTATTTACGTATGTATTTTCTAATTGGCTATGTATGTATGGTAACTAAGGTTTGTAACTATGGTTAGCATTTTTAGAGTAGAAAAGATTTTCCTCTCTATATTTGCTTATTATAGAATTTTGTAAGTAAAGTTCTGCTTTTGGAGTGCTCTGAGAGCACAGATGTGGGTATAGTTGGCTAATGAAACACAATAACCGTCATATGTAGCTTTTTTGTGGCTGAGCCCCATTCTACAACTGTCTATTTCCTTCACAATTCTTCTTATAACCTTTATATTCTGAATTGTGTAAGGCGAGGAAGCGCTGCGTATAAAAACTGATTTTTCAAAGTTGTAAGCAAAATATCTAAAAATGATAAGCAATATGCATAAGTTTCAAACTAAATCCCTTAACCTTGGAGCAAAATCTGCAAAATCCCCGACAAGCATTTCAGAATCCAACTTTTTAATTTCTATTTTATCGGGAATCTCTAAAGAACGCGAAGGACTCTTCTATATAAAGTCTTAAACAAGGGGATATTGCAAACGATTCAGTAGAGATATAGACGAGGGTCCCCTGCCAGCGAAGCAAGCAGACAATTTTTCAACCACGCCTTTTGGATCAGCTTAAAATTTCAGAACATTTCTCACAGTCGTTTGCTTGCAGTCTTAAAACGTTTTCCCCTTACCCCTCTTCACTACGCTACTGCTCCAGACTCCTTACTTGAAAGTCTCCTTATTTGAACTCCTTATTACTCCTTACCAGACTCCTTATTTGCATATTGTTAATATGCATGTTCAATTGCAATGCTCATCAGTAATATAATTAAGGCCTATATATAAAACTCCATTTTAAAAGAAAATCTTTCGAACTGAATTTATAATGTAGTATCAATTTGCAGAAAAAGCAAGTAGATTCTGACTAAACTTGGAAGCAAAATTAACATTTAAACATTTTAACAGAAAACCAAATTTGGAGCATATGACAACCATTGCGAGTTCTTGGTTATATAGAATCACAAGAAACCAAAGTCAATTATATAGAATCTTGAAAAACAAAATTGCGTTTGTAGAGCGACATTTGATAGCAATTTAATATATATAATGTTTTAATAACTTTAATATCGTCTTTTTTCGATCTATGCCAATTAGACAAACGAAACTGACGACAAAAAAGCTTGAGAAATAAATAATAATAATAATAATAATTTCGAATTTTTATACTGGATAAACACAGCAGCTTTTGAGAAGCTGTTATCAATGGGTTTCAAGTGAAAAATAAAGAAAGAAACCTAAGTGAAACCCAACCTAGAGTAGAAAATATTAAAGCTGTATCTGATAAAATTTTACATTAAAAGTGTCAACGCATTTCAACTAAAATGCTTAATTGTCTCCGAATTAGTTATCGGTCTGTTTTGTTTGACCATACAACTATGAAATTTAAATTCACAACTGGTGACATGATTTATATTTTGCTCTGAATTTTTAATGTTCTCTGATCTAAGAGTTTAAACAGGCTCCTGCTTTGACACTATCAATTTCGTACTTCGTGTATGTGCGATTTAAAAACGTTGTAACGACTATGAAGTTTCGCGAAAATCATATTTCCTCTATATCGAATGTCTTTTTATATCTATAATTTCTGTACCCCCAATTTGAGCGCCATCTTTATTATCTTTTGTGTAATTCATCATTAGAACTTTTGTTTATTTTTTCCGCAACAGTTTTCCTGAATTTCTTGTTTATTAAAGTAAAATTTTAGACTGGCACAAGTTTTTCTTTAGAACTGCACAAAAAACTTTTAGAACTGCACATTTTTTATAGAACTGCATATTAAAAAAAACCCTGATCTAACTCGCCAAAAACCGCCGAAGGAGCAAATTGGACCATCTTGGTAGGGAGAGATTACATGCTCATGTGGCAATACCTCAGGGCCATTTCTCAACGAATTCGTAACACATTTAACTCATTTTGAACATTAAAAGGTATTTCTTGATGCTCCTTCAGGTTGTGGGATTCAGATTCAAAAGTTCTTAAAGTACATTTTTGTGACGTCATCACTCCATGCTACTTCAAATTAATCAGTTTCACATGGGTACTTCAAAGCAATCCATGCTAAAAATACTATAATTGAGTTACGGGTCTTCAAGACGCTAAATTTTACTGTTTCTGATAATACCCTTTTTAATTCCCTGAGAAAGAAACGAAAGAGGCAAGTTCCCTTATTGCAGAAGGGATACTTTTAGAACTTGATATCTTTTGAATTGACACTTTTGCTCAAGTAAATCTCAGTAAGTGTATACTGTTTCTTTTGGAGGGCAATAGTCTGAGACTTGGAGCCGGCTGACGTAATGTTTAATAAGTGTTCCTAGACAAAAAAGTGATACACGACGCTTTTCAGAACTAGCTTTTCTTATGGCTCTATTCATCAAGTTCTTCCTCGATATTGTTTTGTTTCTGATTGATTGGCCCAGGCTTTTTCAAATCCAATATGATTTCCAATCAATGTGTTGCAAGTTACATCAGTTTTTGATATCGAAACAATTCCAGCTTGTTTTCATAAGAAAACGACCCCTTAAATCTTGTTTTCCAAATCTCTCCAATTGGGCAACACCAAATAAGGCTTCCATCGCTTTTCAAGCCTACAATTTCGTTGTTTTGACTAAAGGCATTTGACTTTTCAACCATTGATTGACTAGACATGGATAAGCATATATTAATATCTGCTGAGCCTCATACAGTAATATATATTAATTTCTCGTAGCCAGTTTGCTGCATGGGATAAGATCACAAGTAGTAGCACTATATCACCGAGAGACATTTTACACAAACCTAGGAATAGGATTCGGATGCTCAAATTGATGTTAGTAACAGCCTGGGGAAAAGTACTACGAAATGAATGAGGGAGACTATCGAGCAAAATATCACAGAAGACAGTACGAAAGTAGAAATTGGCCATTTTTAAACACTGAAATGATTTATCATGGATTATACTATAAGCAGCATTGTGAAAAATTCTGTAAAGTTACAAAAAGGCATAATGCAGGGGTCATCTTAAGGGAAATTTAGAGCTACCCATTTTCTCGGCATGTCATTGAGATATCTTAAAAAAAGACAAAGGACAGCATCTGATACTACGAAGGAATAAGATCTAAAGATATCTCTCACCAGAAAACTTAACTCCATCTCAGGAAAAAGAGCATATTATCCGGTTGCATGTGTTGTAGAAGCATTTTAGAGTTGTAGCATCCAAAGTCTGAACAAATACCTTTCATAAAGGTTTAATATCAATAGTGAAGTTCTTAGTGCGTTGAAACAGACTTGAAAATTCATGGATTGTTATTCCCAGAATTGGATCCGAGCTTCTTGTCCGTAGAGTTTGTCGATCTCGTTTTATAATGTTGCAACTGCGATGGCAAGGGTCCTGCCCTATTCCTGTGATGTCGTGAGATTAGTTGATGCTTGTGATTTAATGAAGACACCATATAGAAATGTTCTCGATATAAAGATGCAAAGTTTGTATTTGGTTCTTGGATCCTTGGACCCGATTTCCCAAAACTGAATCGACCATCGATGAAGCCAAAAACTGCTTAGCTCCTACAATCCTTCCATTATATTTATGCCGATTCCTACAATTAGTAAGTTAAGTCAATTTTTTGCTCGAAAAACGCTACTAGTTGTAAATACAAGTATTATTAAATTGTACTCTTAGCCGCCCCAACAAAATGGACGATGAATATTTGGTTACTTGTTTGCTTATTATTTTTTGGTATAACTTTGTTGATAAATTTCAAGAGTCTCCATTGTAAGAGTCTTTCACGGCTGCATGTTTTTTCATTGAATAATGCATTGTTATGCTCATAATATTTAACAATTACTGAAAACGAAACAGTTGATCGACGCAACATCAAGAAAGGATAACGGCCTTTTAGCAGGTAGATGTCGTGTCTGCGAATGTCGTTTGACCTCGATGATTAATTCACATGACAACAACATTGTATCTTATTCAAAGCAACAAGGAAATTTGTTGATTAAATCAAAAACTACAGGTGATTATCAGACGACCCCAAAAATTTAAAGTAGCTGGCGGGAACTTGAAAATGAAAGTCGGGAACAGTCGAATGACAAATTTTGATGGTCAATGTTTCATTGCATTTGTTTCATGGTCAACGTTGGGTAGTCAATATTTCCAGACAGGTTCAGCAAAATGTGCTATAAATCAAAGAGATATAAACAAAATACATCAAAAAGATAAAATGTTGGAAATCAAAGTCAAAAGTTTCACAGATGGTCTTAAATTGATGTTTCAGTCTTCATTTCATCTGTCAGTTGATTAAAAACCTTTTCTCCTCGAACTATTTTGGACAAACCAGCTAGCAATCTGTTCTAGATCACTTTTCGTTGATAACATCATATTTTTTACCAGCGACGCACAAAACAGAATCATCAGCATAGATGGTTTTTTCAAATTGTCTGGTAAAGGTTCTTTCAAATCGATATCATTTACCAGTAAGGTAAAGAGCAACGAACACAATTTAGATCCCTGCAGAACTCCAATGGTTTTTCCTTTGGCTTGAGATTCTCACAAAGTTCATCATAGGGAACAATTTGCTTTCTACCAAAGAGATAGCCCTCGAACTGCGCTCCAACCAATTAAGCACCTTGTTTTTGCGCTTCGTTAGATAGTGCTCACGCACAATCCACCATTCCAAAACCATTCCAAGATCATGCTATGCAACATTTTGTTCTCAAACGACAAACACTGCAAAGCCTCGCAGAATAAATTTTGCGAACGCACAGTGTTTGATCATATTAACTATAGTTTGATTTGTCCTCTTCCTTCACGCGCATTCCTAAAAACAATGGCACTGCTGATATCTGGAAAGGAAAATAAGTCAAACTCCAATCGAAAATTTTGGTAAGACCTGCCGTGCCAAATTGCTTTTGCTGTACTTGATAAAATATGCCGCATTTAATTGATTGAAACGTCGCACTTTTCATGTACTTAAAAAGTTTATTTAGTTTGGCGTAAGAGAAGTTCGACGTTTGAACAGGGCCTAAGCGCGTAAAAGCTGGAAAAAGTATTAACAGAATGTTTATAAACATTCGGTCAACAATTCGTGCGAGAGATAGTATAAAAATATGAAAGTGTTAGCGAAATATTTAACAATAACTGCAGAGAAATATTCTTATTTGTCACACTGTTGGTTCAGCGATGTTTGCGTTTTTCTTATACGTTCATGGCTAATTCATCGTATTATTTTGCATTAATGTATTAAATATACCTTTTGAGATCAATTACGTTTAAGTTCCCCAGAGAAGGATTGGACATCTGGCAAATTTCCCATCACGTTGGATGTTTTTCTGAAGACCTTGAGTTTTATTATATCTAGCAATTTGCTATAACGTTGAAAAAGTGATTTTTGCCATTTATTCTGACGTTATTAAACAGCAAATGTCATATTGAATAACACCTTGACACAATCCATGCGAATAGGTTTTTGAAAAAAGCAAAGAAGAGCGGAAACATATCATTTCAAATGTTGAGGTACCAAAGGCTTATTATGTTTTTTTGCTGGGAAGATGGTCCCATTTGAAAAAATTTTGGTTACGCCTCATGGGTCAACAAACTTCAAATTCCTTTTTTAGCTTATATTGGAGAATGTAGCAAAATGCTTTTGGTTCGTGAGGTATTGCAGCGTGCATTCAGTTATTGCATTTAGCAGTCTGCAGTTAGATTTTGGATGAAAACAGATAAGAAAAGGCTTGCTTATATTCACAGCTACTGAGGTTCAAAAGTGACTTGGATGCTAAGAGAAAAACATTTTGTATTTCAAAAGCTCGATCTCGCAAAGCATTTATAATGAAGGTCGTTTCAAAAGCACTGTTGGGTCAAAATTTAGGGGTTACTCTGGGCTACTCTATTCCAAAAATATGGATGTAGATTTAACTTTAAAAAAATTGTTAATTCCAGAAAAATTCCTCTCACTCGCTTTCTAAGTTTCTGGAGAGAAAAATAAAAGCTGCGCATTTCAAATCACTGACTTAAGATTCAGGTAAGTCAGAATAAAACTGCTTATCTTATAAAGTGAAAGGTATACAGGTACAAAGCAATAATTGAATGGTGTGAATGCAGCGCAGTGGAGAAAAAATGGGAATGCAGCGCAGTGGGAAAGGTGGTGGGTGATGTAAGGGGATGTGGGTGGTATTTATTTATTAATTATAATTTATTTCGTGACATTGGATTCTCGTCGTCGTATTGCTTTGTTCCTGTATACCTTTCATTTTAAAATCTCATTGCAAGATTCACAGAATCCGGCGGACAGCCTATTCTGCGGTACTTCATTCTCACACGTTATCTTATAAAGACTGATGCGAACTGCACAAATGCATGGGCTTTTTTAACTCAGCAACAGATTTGACAAAGCTCAGCTGTGTCATTGGAATTGAACGTGCATTCTTTTATGTGTTAGGGCTGTAATTCACAGAAGAATTATAAATATAAAAACAATTTTGAAAATATGAATGTTTTTAATTCCTTTAAAATATGCACAACAGAAGAACAAGTACTTTGCCTTTGGTCTGCACAATGCATCAGACAGTGCGTGGATGTGTGAGTTTCCTTCAATAGATGAATAACTTCAGAATGACCTTCTTTGTGTAAGGAAACGCAAATCAAACCGAGCGGTTTCCAATCTTAAGAGAAGAAGCAGATTCAACAAAAAAACTGACAATGATTTTTAAAACAGAATATAACTAGATGAATACAGATTTACCGGGAAAAAGTAAGAATGCGCCATTGACTCTTTATTATACAAAAAATAAGTTCTCCGAAGGCTAAACTATCCACACCACCTGATGAGATTGAGGCAGAAACAAATTGTCACAAAAATCTATGCGGATATTTTGGAGGAGATCTGGGGCAACATATGATTTTTCTGCTGTAGAAAACTGCCCAAGAACTGCTAAGACTTTGAAACAGAAGATGCCCTGATAAGGTTTTCAAAAAGAGGTTTTGCTGTAATGCCATCACGATAAGTCGGAGCCCCCCCCCCCCCCCCCTTGCCACCTGTATTCTACTATCTTCTGACCGAGTCCTGAGTAAAGTCAAAGGCAACTATAAGAAGAGATTAACCAACTACCTTACAGCGAAGAAAAAGCATTTCGTCGAAATTTGTATTACTTTCAATTTTGTAAGCTGGACTGCCGGCGAAACTAAATAGTATACTTTTGGATTTAGACTTTTAGATTTTAGATTTAAACGTCCACTACTGCTGTAAGAACACTTTTAACGATTCCTTCTTACCTATTTCTATTACAATAAATTAATATGTACAAAAAAGTTCTTATAGAGTGAAACACGTTCTATAAACAGCTGAAATCCGTTACTTTGCAATGTAACAGTATCCACTTCACTATTGCACACCATCCCCAAAACCAAACGAGGACATCTCAGCGACATTAGTGGTGCCAGACTCGTTGCTTGCACCTTGGCAGCGAAATTCAATTGATTCAAGTTCTTTTAATAAACTTCCGTATTCGGAAAGCGAACATTGATCATTTACAAGGGTTAGCTCCCGCTCAATCGGATCCAGTTCTAGAAATCGAGATGTTGCTACTGTGTCCTCTTCCTCTGCGCAGATGTCCAACACATCCATTTTGAATTCATTTAAAAACGAATCTGGAAAGATATATACATTTCGTAAAGACATTTTCTAATGTCCGTTAAGGAATAATTGAAATTGACAACTGGTTCTAATTAATGCTACGAGTAAAAAAATACGATAAAAACAAATGATAATATCAAGCGATTGTCTGAAAAATGAAAAATCAAAGACAACAGCTCAGAGCTTACCTTCAAAGTCTGAACGGAAAGGTAAATCTTCCATTTCAAGTAGAGAAAAGTCAACATCTTTGCTTTTTGAAGAGTGACATTCCTTTAGTGGGTTGGTGAAAGATGGCCACCAAACACTCTCCGCCAGGCGGGTCTTTGAGAGATCTACCAGATACTTTGGCAACTCAAGTTCTGGCTCTGAAAAAAGACGTGAACTGTAGAAAACGGAATACAAGATGCAATAAAAATCAGAATGGGGTCAGTAAAGGGCCAGGGGGCTATAGCCCCCGATGGGGGGCATGCTAGCCAAAACGTCGGGAATATTCTAGCCCTCCTCTCACCCCCGGTAATAATTGTCAGCTCACTCTTCAAATTTTTTGTGTGCCATTGAAGGATGAAACAAGGAAAAAACTTGACAACGAATGAGCAACCCCCTGTCGTTGATTGACGGGGGATGGCTCATTTTTTAAAAAAACAAGTTTTTCGTGTCCCTAGAAAATTAAATGGCTGGCAAATATTAACAAGATGGGAGTGGAAGGAATTAGTTGTCATGGACATGTTGAAAGGGTCTGCTTACACAGCTTGACAAAAGGAATTACTTGCACAATCCTTATGTAACTGAGTTGAAAGCCTTATAATTCGTTTTGATATTTCTGAGAAAAGATATTTTTTGAACATTTGCGACCTGTCAAATTGTACTCTCGTCTCGACTGAAACAAGCTTGTGTGCAAAGAATTAAGCTTCACTCTTTGTTTGCTCAGATGAAGATAAAAATGAAGAAGAAAAGGCTATTGGTTACGAAAATTGATTAACGTTGTTGCTGCTTAAAGAAAGAGAAATGAGATAAAGAATTAATCTTAAAAGGAGAGACACTTAACATTCAATTTGGAAAACAGGGAGATTGTTCGACAAACAGACTTAAAAACTATGACATAACAACAACCTGCTTCAATTTAAAGGAAATATGTACAAAACGACAGTAAAAAAATATAGCCGATAACAAATGTCCGAAGTAGTTGCAACGAATCACTGGATATTCATTTATCTATCAATTTCAAATTTAAAGTTAGTGAGTTACTGTCGTGAAGTGATATTTCTGAAGAACGCTGAAAATAATATCTGCAATAATAAGCCTAAATTAGTTAAAGAATTCAAATCAAAAACAAGAAGAGCAATAGGTGAATGGTCAATGGAGCAAATTTGAGACAAATTTGATTAACCTGCATCACTACAGTGAAATAGAAAGTCAGTATTGGAGAAAGTAAAGAAAAGAAGAATGATACTGCAGAATGATGCAAGGCGGGCAAAGAGGGGGGCAAAGAGGGGGCAAAGAGGGGGGCAAAGAGGGGGGGAATTGCCCAGGATTACCCTTATGACCTGACAGGTTGCTTGGTTCTAGTCCAATTGGCAATAGCAAGAGCACAGATTCAGCAGTAGTTAAAAGAGGAGTCATGACAACAGTTTGCCAAGGAGGGACACTTTATAAACGAGCTTTCACAGGATCTTCATTACATACATACACAGAAGGGTCTTTGATCGAGATGCTACAAAACAAACACAGCCCTCACCTTAGGTATTTAGTCAGAGAAACAAAGTTCGACTCAGGTATGCAATCAAAGTGGATCAGGCATTTGTGGCTGAGTTAATTTGGCAATCTACTAAAATAGCAAGTACATTACACCCTTTGAATAAATTCATTTTATCTTTGCATCGAAGAGCAGCGCTTCTTAAACCGGCCACACTTATCATTAAATCAACATATTGTCAAACCGTTAAAACTTGAATTGGAAAGTTATTCTGAGAATGCAACAATAAAGAAATGTTGGTAAAGACAAAAATATGATAGACACAGCAGACGAATTGAGAGATAGCGTTACGTCAATCTCATTGGAATTTACTTCAAAACAGTTGTTAGTGCGGTCACTTATTGTATAACAGTATGGGGCACATCTTCACCTGCAACATGAAATGCTGTTGATGCATTGCATGCTAGAACGGCAAAAATGATTCATAAAGTAAGAGGTGCAAGACCTACGGAAGAAATCCTGAATAAGGCTGGATAGGAACCAATTAGCTACATCTACGTGACGTACTGACGGTACGTCAAGAGGGTACTGACGTGGATGCATAGAATTTATTACAAAACATGCCCAAAACAAACTTGTGAACAATTCGTGAACGAAAAACAAATTTGCGAGAACCTCTTCAAGTTGAAACCATAAGATACAAAAAGAAATTGGACAGAACTCATTTAAGTATAGAGGTGAAGTCCTTTGGAACCCAATGTATGTATGTATATGTAAACGAACCTTTATCAATAAACGGGAATGCAGTCTCTTTCTGAAACAGACCAGGTCCAATGTTTCCTTTTTGTCTTGCAGATCCATCAACGTTTTTTACCGCCTCCTTCTCAATTTCGTCGTCCTCTAAAATTTTGATGGCCTTTTTATTGGATTTCTTGGACGTTCCTGATGGTTTCAAAAAGGAAGAGAATTTTCCTGGGGTTGTTAGAGATGTTCTGTTTTGCTGAACCCCATGAGTAGAGCCTTTCTTATCGCTCTGAAGGATTGTTTTTTGTGGTGCAATTACTCTTTGAGTTTGCAAATTGCGCACGTCTCCCAACGCTCTCCTCGGGGTCGCTTGATGGATGTTGTCTTGCACGAAAGGCTTTGGTGGATTTCCTGTCGAACAAAAAGAATAAGCTGGATAACTCAGCAAAAAGAAGCGCATTACAACAAGTGTGACGTCAAGACAGGATCTAAGCTATACAGGTCTTTCTTTAAGAAACACATCAGACCAGGGAGGCTCAAAGTTTCTTTACGTCATGTTGGTTTGAGCCTCAAACTTTTCTCAAATGTTTCTTACGAACATACATTTGTTTCAGCGTATCAGTTTGAGCAAGTCTGTAGATATAAATTCTAGATTCAATTGCTTTATTTCTCTGTAAATTCTTATCAGACAAGAAAGTTCAAACAATTTGCAACAGTTCTTAGGTAAACCATTGTATGTGTTAAGTATGTACAGTAGGTAAATTAATTTTTTCCTTGTGCTTTTCCTTTGAAAGAACATAAAAGAAACATGTTTCATGCAAAATGGTAAATCTTAATATGCTTTCTTGCAGAATTTTTTGCACAAAAAATTTCATGACAGCACCTGGCCCCTTGGTTGGTTGCGATTCCATACCCTGGTAAGTTAGTTGAGGGTAGCTGGGAGTGAATTTGTGTCAGAATAGTGAAAGGTTTTTAATAAGTTCAAGCTACGCCATGGATTTGGCAGGAAAGTCAATGACTCTTAGAGATGGCTGTATTCAAGACTGGCCTCTTACTTGATATCCCTATGCCTGGCTTGCCTTCCTGGTGGATGATGTTTTCTTGATCATGCATCACAGCAACTCTTGTTGATGCCATGCTTCACAAATGTAAATAAATCTGAAAATAAAAAAGAGCCACTGAAACATACCTGTGCTGTCACAATGCAACTGCAGAGATACACAGGAATAACATGACAAAGGTATAAAATAGGTCATAATGCATTCATGAGAATAAAACAAGAAAAATAAAAGATATGAAGAAACATTTGAAACATCAAAAATGTCTGACCAATACAAAGCACACAACAATAAAAAATGTGTCATTCCATTGAAAATCAATGAAAAAGACTCTGATTTAACAACTCATTTCTCCAAAACCCTTATGCTAAATCCCCGGATGGAGTTTTTTTATGTTTTCGTATACCTTCAGCAACAAATTGCCTGTTTTTCAAGATAAGGGTGATTTGCCTATTTCAGGAATAGACATATAAAACTTGTCAGGAAAATCTTTATTACTGGAAATGCAGTTAATTGCTCTCAAATAAGCATGTGCCTGTTTCCTTGACTGCCTGTACTGTTGAGTGCCAGTGCACTTGCTTGCTTTTGGGCACCCCCCACTGGAGTGCCTGCCAATTATAGAAGAATGGAGTGTGGTATACTGAAATTGATACTTGTCTTGTTTTCCAAAAAAACATCTCACTACAATTAGCCCCAAGAAATAATCTTGATTGGGTTACACAATTCAATGCAGATTTTGGTAATTTGTTTGTTCTGATTGATGAAAAAAGTCAGTAGTTTTGAGTATCATAGAAATAACCAAGCCTGTGAACCATTAAACCCTGCCACGTGGTCTCACATGGACATTATCAACATACATTAAGACGATCCAATTGGTGTTTTTTATTAACTGATTTCCAAATTTTAGAAAACTGCTGATTTAGATGTCTGCTGGCTTTATGAGAATGTTACAAATTTGGTATTAACTGCTTTTCATGCAATAATTTTAGGGTTCATCAAGTCTTTATTAATACAGGATTAACAATATTATATATCTTACTTTGAAAAAGCCTGAAAAACACAGCATACTTGTATCAGGACTTGCACTAAGCAAAATAAAGGGGCTCCATAAAACGAGCTACTAAGAAATTCAAGGCCATCTATTTCACATTTCTGTGCAAAATTGCCGTTTGCAAAATTTGCATTTTCTTTTTAATGAAAATGAGGCAAATAATATGGTCCAAACAGAAACGATGCATTTTAAAAAGTGAGTTTAAATGATTCAACTCTCAAAATTGTTTTTATACAATTGTATTTACAATGCATGGAAAGAAACCTTTTTTATTCAAAAAGGTGTTCTTGTAGAGCTGGTCTTACCTTATGAGAAACAAGATATATAATCTAGTAATCAACATATTAGTGGTATAAACTCTTATAAATGTCATAAACCAAAATATTTTGGTCAATTGAGAAGATTGTTTGATATGCTTTATCAACATTATTTTTAAACAATATTTTGCTTCCTTGCAATATCGTTTTACATTTTCAGGCACTCCTTAAATCGCTCTCCCTGGTTATATTTAGGTGCACTTTATGCACTCGGCTCAATTGAGAGCCTTTTCATGCAAGGCCTGTTGCATCCATCTTCACCAAGCAAGGTGAGACCCATGCTAAGCCAAAACTTAAAATACCACTTGATCAACCAAGGGAATGAAAACACCACAAAACACACACCTTACCACTAACAAGTTTTACACAAATCCTCAGAAGGCCTTGATACTCCTGTATTGCCCATAAACTAGTAGAGCAATACAAGAAAACAAGGAAGCATGGCACAACAGACCATAAAAAATAGCAAATTATAACCATCTCAAGCGAATTAATGAAAGCACTAAAGCTCCTCGTGAAATTAGCTCTGATTAAATTTCAATTACTCATCATTAAAATGTTTTTTTTAAATTAATGGAAGCTAACAGCTTACTCACTGATCAGCAGGTATCACTTAACCCCAAAATATTTTTTCAATTTCTACATTGCCAAACCTTTAGAAACAAATTCTCCATTGTCAAGCCAGGGTGGACTTCATGTAAACCTCATGTCAGATATATTGGCCAGTAAAATATGAATTAGTGCCAAAGGTTCTACATTTTAATAATACCGACAAAAAGCTGTATGATACAATGGATAATAGAAGCACACAGACAACAAACCCATGCAGTAGGTAGGCATACCCCACACAACATTTTCTTGCTCAAATCCCGTTTGCACATTTTTTCAAATTTAGTACAATCTGGGCAGTTGAAGCTCGTGTGAATCCTGCGCACAGCCTTGCAATTGCTATTTGAAAATAAAATCCTGCAGCTTTTAATTAGCTATTTTGCAACATTATTTGTTCCCGCACAAGCATGATCAATATAACCCCTCTGCACGACTGCACAACATTTGCAAGGATGTTTATTTTTCTTTGTTTCAACTAACTACTATTAGTGAGACCTGTGTGAGGACATGCAGAACTACTGAGTTGCATGTCCAAATGAATGTTTCAATACATGCACACAGGAGGGAAAATAAGCCTCTTGAAAACCGAATACCTTATCCTTTTAGAATCTTCATTTTAGAATAAAATCTAAAATAATTTTTAAAGATATAAAGAGCATGATACTCACCGCGACCACTCGAGCCTATGCGAACCAACAAGGGTTAAATTATTGTGACTTCGAACTTAGGCCAATCGACAAATCTGCCGCCTTCGATTTAAGTCGTTCGTTGACCAATCAAATCAGTGACTTCTGACAGGGATTCAAAATGAAATTTTAATGCTCCTTCGCAATTACAGTATAAAACCAAACAGTGGAATATAACGAATTCTGAAGGACACCAGGACATAGTTCGTTATATCGGGAGTTCGATAAACCGAGATAAATCGTTTTTAGGTCTTTCAGCAGTACACACAGATCTTCAGCAGATCTCCTATTCGAAGAAGAGAGCTTTTTCATTAATCTGGCGTTCTTGCAGATCTTTCAGCTCAGGATTTTGTAGAAATGATACTTGTCTTTGAACCCAACCTGAACTCAACCCTTCTTAAATTTGCAGAAGTGATACCTGTTCATAAAGCTAAATATAGTTTAGACGTTTCAAACTATCGCCCGATATCACTGCTACCAATATCTAATAGAACCTTTGAAGACTTTTTATAAAAGACTTATAGGCTTGCTTTCCAAAAGTAAATCCACCTCACAAGCAGTACTAGACCTTTTCAACCAACTAGCAAGTACTGTGGATAAAAAAAAGCTTCTTGCTGCATATTTCTAGATCTTGCCAAAGCTTTCGACCAGTGGCAATTCTACGGGGGGCCAAGGTGGCCAAGGCCCCCCAGAAATTTTTTTTGCCCCTTGTTTGTAATCGGGGTGGACATTTTTGAAATTTTGGCTCCTTTCTAATAAGTTACCAAGTAAAAACCAAGTGTTACCAAGAGTTCTGTAGTTACCAAGAAAAACTCCTTCTTGACAATAATTTAAATTATATATTTGCTAAATAATATCACGAAGATCCACCTTCTTGCGGTGGGGTGCGCAGGATCAGCCCAATACCATCCCAATATACCTTTGCAATCTACTATTGCTTATCGAAATTGTATGACTTGAAATTCTGTGTAAAAGAATGATTTGCTTGATCTCATGGAGGTTGGGTATAAAACATAACTACTATGGAAAATTTTTACCAATCAACCTCACAAAGCTATTAGACTTCTATTTTTTAGAAGTTTAGTTCTTCTGTTGAAAACCATGTTCATGATGCATTATTGTTAAACAGGTAAAACTCAGTGAAGTAACAGAACAAAGTTACTTTTGGTCAAATAACAAACGGTCCCAAACCTTTAGGGGCTCCAAGCAACAATTTTTATTTTTCCTAGGGGACACAGCTGCTCCTTACACCACTAATAAAACTATTTGGCATAATGATAACAGCCTTGATAGAGCTGTACCAAGGACATACTTATCTATGGGAAGCTAAGAAACGGTGCCTTGTAGCTAGCTAATTTTGAGCCACCACGCCACATGTAGCTGCTTTACATTCTACTAGTTCCCAAAGAAATAGCTAGCGTTGGCTCCTATAACTGAAAGTTTGGCCCCCAGTTAGCCCCCCCCCCAGATTTTTAAGGCTAGAATTGCCACTGCTTTCGACACGGTTAACTACAAAATTTTACTAGACAAACTCAACCACTATGGTATAAGAGCAAATCCTTTAAACTGGTTTCAATCGTACTTATCAAATAGAACACAAAAAGTTTGCATAAATGGGATTTTATTTGAACCCTAAATTATCACACATGGTGTACCCCAAGGACTTTTGCCTTGAAGCCAAAAGACCTTTGGAAACAAATTAAGCGATCATATCCTTCAAATAAGAAAAGTCCAACATCTAATGTGTTTCGAGTTGAAGGTTAACTTGTTTCTGATAAAAAGAAGATATCAAACGGATTCTGTTCCTTTTTCACCCAACATTGGGTCTTCCCTCCAAAGAGATGCCTCTACGTTGAATAGTAAAACTTGGCAATTTTTCAATGGAAAACCAACTTCTACACAGATCAATCCGGAATGCAACGTATTCAAGTTCAGGACTATAGAACTGAATGAGATAACAACAGCCTTAAGATCAATAAAGGTTTCCAAATCTGCTGGCCCAGATAACCTACCTGCACAACTTATAAGGGATGGTGCAGAACAGATCGCGGCAATTTTATACTTTCTAGCAAATCAAAGTCTTCGATCAGGATCTTTTCCGAACAGCGAGAAATGTGCAAGACTGACTCCAAATTATAAATCTGGTGAAAGGTCCAACTTTGATAACTACAGGTCTATTTCTGTATTAAACATCCTATCTAAATTGTTAGAGAGACTTGTTCATCGACAACTCTCAGAGTACCTAGGACGTAACAACCTCCTTTCTTGCAGTCAGTTTGGGTTTCGACGAGAACGATCAACGCAGCATGCAGTAACTCTTTTCACTGAACATATCCGAAATAACATGGAACAGGGTCGCTGCACAGGCGCATTATTTATGGACTTTCGTAAAGCTTTCGATACTGTCCATCATGGAACACTGCTTGAAAAGTTAAGATGTTATGGCATACAAAATACAGAGCTTGCTTGGTTTGAAGACTTTTTGTCAACAGAAAGCAGTTTGTCTGCTACGATCAATCAACATCACAAACTGAGCAAATGACATATGGGGTTCAATCCTTGGGCCTCTCCTATCCATCATTTTGATCAATGATGTTCATTTGGTATTGGACAAATGCAAAATTCTTATGTATGCAGATGACACAGTGATATTCTTCTCGAAAAGATCGGTAGAGGCTGTTGAAGAAGTCCTGAATCAAGAGGCAAACTTAATTGGTAAATGGTTTGCGAACAATAATCTAATACTGAATCTCAAAAAAGGCAAAACTGAACTCGTTATCTACGGTACAAGTCAAAAACTAGCGAAACAATCGTCATGTAATGTCTCTCTGAATGGCACTCCGATAAACCAAACTACGAGCAATGAATATCTGGGAATCACCCTTGACAGTCACCTAACAATGAGTATGCAAATTGACAAGATCTACAAGCGAGCCTCAAGTCGGGTAAAACTCCTGCAAAGACTTCGTCCCAACATCTCTTCACTTGTTGTGGAGAAACTATATAGGGTTATGATAAGGCCTGTGCTACTCTACTGCTATCCCATTTATCTAAGCGTAGGTGAAAGTGCCAAGAAAAAGCTGCAGTCAATCCAAGACAGAGCCCATAAGATCATAGCTCCTACTAAGAACACGACCCTGAAGATGGACACATTGGATCAAATCCCGAAAAAACGAGTATCGATCGACGTGTTCAAGTCTTTAAATGATTCTTGCCCTCCACCACTGTGAAACATGTTTCAGCAATTTAATCATAGCAAGGATACACGAGGAAACGGCTCAAGTCTTATACTGCCAAGAGTTAAAACAGAAGCAGGAAGAGAAACGTTTGCCTTTCAAGGAGCACTAATTTTTAATGGATTGTCATCCGACCTTCAGACCGAATCTTTCTTTGTAAACTTTAAACGCAAAATAGATTATCTAAGCTTTGCACGATAATGGTATAGTATTTTAACTTTTAAATTTTTTACTTTGTCAAAAGTTTCTTTAAACAGGACCCTTATTGATAGCAGTACTTTACTTGTACTGAAAAGGCGTATCCTGTATAAACATGTATTATTATTATTATTTATTATTATCATAGGAAGTGTACTTGGTCCTCTTCTAATCCTGTTATATATAAACGATCTGCCTTTGTGCTCCAAAATCCTTAAATTCCATCTATTCGCTGATGATGCAAGTACCTTTCACCCAAGAGATCTTGAATCCTTTGTCAATCATGAGTTAAAAAATGTTTCAACATGGCTTTCCGCCAACAAGTTATCGCTTAACAGTGATAACTCTAGTTTCCTTACTATCTCAAATAAGAAAAAGATTGATTCTATCCTAGACACTAAAATTGATAATATTTCCATTAAAAAAAGACCATATAAAATATCTTGGTGTTCTTATTGATAACAGATTAAATTGGAAACAGCATACACAAAATGTCAACACAAAAGTATCGAAAAGCATCTGAAAACTGGCAAAAATGGGACACTCTGTTTCATTAGATGTACTAAAACAATTGTATCATGCTTTTATTTCTCCTCATCTCAGCTATGGTATCATTAATTGGGGGTAGTATTTCAAAATCTGTTACGGCCAATTCAAGTAAAAGTCTTGAAAAAGCGATTAGAATTATAAACTTTGCAGGCTATGGAGCTGAGTCGAAGCCCTTCTTTTCTAAACTAGGTTTACTAAAATTCAAAGATTCTTATAAATTTATAAATTTGAAACTGCAAAATTCATGCACGATGTTAAAAACAAGAACATCACCCCGACCTGTTTCAAAAAACCAATATACGACACAACTATAAAACTCGCCAAGACACCCAGAATCAGTTCTCTTTGTCTCTGGTATTAACTGAATGTCGTAAAAGTTCTATTGAATTTAATGGAATCAAAATATGGAATGAAATACCCTTATAAATTCGTTCTATGTCTAGTAAGAATAAATTTAGTAAATTTCTTTATAAGTGGTTATTGCAACATAGCGAAAATCCCAAATCTTCAGTCAAGCACTCAATTATATAGAGTAATAGAGTAAATGAGTAAAACACAGGCAGTGTACTCGTGCCAATGCAAAAAATATTGTGTTGCCCAAAGTACAATCAGAAGCAGGCAAGAAGGCCTTTTACTTTCAAGGAGCAAAGATTTTTAATAAACTAACAGACGAAATGAAGTGTGAAACATCAATTCTAAGATTTAAGACTTTTTGTAAAAATTTTAACTTCGACTTTTAAGATTTCATTTTCATCATGTATTTAATTTTTATTTCGGTAATCCATGTTTTATTTAGACAGGTCCTTTATTGATAACAGCACGTTGTTGCTGACCAAAGTTAACCTGTATAAATATGATATTATTATTATTATTATTATTATTATTGTATCGTGAATATTAAGTTCAACCCTTCTCCAATGCACACCATTTTTGAAACTAACTGCAGTGTTCCCTCTCCCACCTTTTATACTGTGTTACTTCTAGGTATTTTCTTTCTTTTTCATTTTTATTTTTATTTCTTCCTCTTTTCCTGATTCGTCCCGTTACTGCTTTTTATTGTTAAAAAAATCAAACAACGTAAAAATTTGAATCTTAGCATTTTCAATGTACAAGTGC